CATTTAGTGGCAGGACCGTGATCTTCGAATCACAGCCCTAGGAAGAGACAAGGAGTAGGACAAGTACCAAGTAAGGTTAGATAACGAGAACAGCAAGGAACCACAAAATGGAGGGTAGAATATCACAGTTAGAACAATAGTTGAAAGGACTAACAATAGGAAAAAAAAGGATTTATCATTGCCCACAAGTATTAGGGAATGGAGTGGGCAGTCACATGCGAAACCGGTAACAGAATTCTTAACACAGGTAGAACAGTGTGCCCGTGTAAGTAATTGGAGTGAGGAAGACATGGTAAACATCATAAAGGCTATGTTAGCCGGAGAAGCCAGGCAATTTGTTAACGGTAGGGACCAGTTAACCAACGAAAATGTGAGGTATGAAGTGTTAAAAGCAGCACTAGTTCACCGTTTTGGCGAGAAATTGCCAGTTCGGTACCACTATAATTTACATCACGAAGCCACGCACTGGAAAGACGAATCACCCATTCAGTTTTTTGACAGATGTCGGGCACTGAGCACGAAGACCGTGAGGAAGAGCGCAGACCCGACAGAGCAGCGCATATTGAAGGAGGAAGCAGAATTTAGGCTCCTCGTTAGTTTCATTTATGAAATGAGAGGAGAAGCCGGAAGGGAGATGTGGATTCGAAATCCGGAAACTCTGAACCAGGCATTAAACGTATCGACTGTAGTATACAGTGCGAAGCGGATGGAACTTCACCGCAAGGATCATGATACGCTGACTGTGAAGACGGAAAGGCAGAGTTTCACGAGTCCAAAGGGATACAAATCACCATGGAATCAGAGAAGCCAGCCGCAAGGATCGCCGGTACGACGATCCAAGGAACGAAGGGATACGAACAGAGATCGGGTTCGAGCCCCAGTCAAGTGTTCTTCGTGTGGACGGCAAGGCTACATAACGAGGGATTGTGAGGCAAGACGAAAGCCCACGACCCAGAAGGAGCAGAGCTCCCCAAACTAATTTCGGCGGTAGAGAACTCCGTCGCCCGCCGAAAGGAAGCCGCGTGGATTCCACTCGTGAATTAGAGTAGAAGTCCAAGGGACAAGCTACGAGTTCATAATAGACACAGGTGCAGACGTGTGTTTAGTCCAACCCTACCTGAGGGATGAGCCCACGAAAGAGAATACAGATGCGGTTAGGGGTATAACTGGGCGGGAATTGGAGCTACAAGGCAAGAGAGGGGTCGATTTTTAATAGGAGACTGGTATTACACCCACGATTTTGTAGTAGCGCCCTTTCCGATCCAGATGGACGGAATTATGGGGCTTGATCTGTTAAGAGCACTAAACGCCCGTATTGACTTGGCCACCGAAGAAATAGAGTTGGATGGCCAGAAGATTAAACTGACGAATTACCCGTCAGGTAAACGGGAAGTGGACAGACGAGTAAGGGTCTATCAGAGGGAGCCGCGACTTCTGCAAGGTGCAGAGGAAGGCACGGAAACGGCTGTGAAAGCAACCACGGAGTCAAGAAGACAGGTTGTAGAGAGGGTAAGGGAGGACCCAGCCGAACCCAGCGTACCAGAGTCGAGGGGACCGGCAGTAGAGGCAGTAAGGAGATTGGCCGGACTACTACGAAAGGCACACGGAATAGCGAGGAGGAAGCTGAGCCAAGTGAGAAGGGACCAGCACACTCGCCACGATCAGAGAGCACGAAGGGTGGTGTATCATCAAGGCCAGCTTGTGTACCGAAAACAAATGGTAAAGGGAAGAAAGCTAGAACCTAAATGGTTAGGCCCGTATCAAGTGATGCGAAAAGTCTCTGACCTAGTGTACAGGATACAAATATGGAAACGAGAAGCGAATCTGCACGTAGAGCAACTGAAACTATGCAGAGCCTCACGAGAAGAGTTCCGTGAGAGACGGAAACAACATAGGCGAAGGATAAAGGAACACAAGCCCAGCCTCGGGAGAGGTGAAGAGACTGGTTCCGACTACGCAGCGTCGGAAGACGGTGAAGAGAAGCCACGATATTCGTACCCGCCACAATACTCGTATGCAACGTAGGAGAGACAAGATACAACTGAATCAATCCGCAGAATCAGCACCTTTGCTCCAGCGGAGAGAGAGACAGAAAGAATAGCAGAGAGAGACGCTATTGAGGCAGGTAATGGGGATTCGCCAGCATCAAACACTGCGGAAGCGAATGGGCAGGAACGCGAAGACAGCACATTTGCTCCGGCTGCGGAGGAAAGGGAGACAGCATGAATGAGCGAGAAAGATGAAGCTAGTGAGACGCATAATGGTGGTTCGTCAGCATTATATACGACCGAGACGGACGCGTTAAGTGAAGAACGGCAAGGTTATTCACTGCGCCCCCGAATTCAGAGTAATTACAGAGAGTAAAGACGGCCGGAGGCCGAAACACGCGCAGAGGTAACGGGAATTGACGTACTCCGTTTGTTTTCAGGTGGAGAGGAATCCAAGACAGACGGAGCCGTCGGGCTCAAATTGGAAAAGGGGATGGCATATTTGCAAGAGCGAGAAATTTTAATGAGGCGCCGTGTGGTATGTCACTGTGGACTTTAGCGTAACGGACCACGCCAGAATGATAGGAGAACTAATCATGATATTGGTGGATCTCACCTTCAATGTAGGAAGAGACCTAGTACAAAGGCAGGAGCTAAGATACGTGAGCAAGATAGCAGGAGAGCTGCAGGAGAAAGTAGAAAACATCCTCCAAAAGTTTCCACGGGAACGGAGAGTTCGAAGAGGAGTGCTTAGCCTAGGAGGGAAAGCGCTTATATTTCTTTTCGGAGCAGCCCTTAGTGAAGATTTGAGACCACTAAATGACAGGATAGAAACGTTTAGAACTAGGGTAGGAGAATTAGTACGCGACGCTGCGGAATGCATGACAGTTAGCCGCGAAATGGATTCGCGAGTAAGGGCAAACGCTAAAATATTGGCTCAGATGGTACGAGCAATGAAGTTGCACAATAAGGAGATGGTTAGGGGTCAGCTCACGCTATATCAGAAGATTAACCAAACAAGGGAGCAAGTAACTAATTCAGTAAGGAAGGCCATTTACACGAGGGAATTAGAACTATTAATAATGAAAATTTGTACAGATATGACAAGCTTAGCTGTGAGCTTAGATATGGCAACGGTACACCGATTGACTGCCAGTTTGTTGCCCTCACACAAGTTATTCGCGATTTCGCGCGATATTTACGTGCAACTTGAGGAAGGCTACTCGTTCAAAGTNGCATATTTGCAAGAGCGAGAAATTTTAATGAGGCGCCGTGTGGTATGTCACTGTGGACTTTAGCGTAACGGACCACGCCAGATTGTCCAATTACCCTTAAGAACCATAAGGCTAACCTACACCGTTTACGAACCTATACCGTTATCCTCATTAGAACCCAACTTAGGCAAGTTTGTTCAGGTACAAGGAGGAAGGGAGAGACTAGCAGTGTCCTCCGATAAAAGAAGTTACATAATGTTACCGACAGGGTATATTCGAAATTGTAGGGAAGGAACGATCACGATATGTAAAGGAACAGTCCCGACAGTTGAGAGAACTTACGAAACTTATTTGAGTAGTCTATTTTTCGGAACAAGTCAGGGATATTTGTCTTGCAAGCGGGAGATTTTGTCAGAAAATTTCAGACCATTGTTTAGTAAACACCCTTTTGAAAATTCATGGCTATATGCGGTAGCGAAGGTTACAAAGGTAGAGTGCAGGTGCATAAGCACTCAAGGATGCCCCTTGAACATAACAAGCTTAGAAGGCACAGGCATCATCACGCAGCCAGACGGCTGTGACCTGATCATCGGACAGCTGACGCTGCCAGCGAGTCGTCAGTAGTCAGCACGAGTCCAAGGCCGACTGGGACAGCCCCGGGATAATGGTGCCGCAAGCGCCAGCCCTTCTGCTTACAGAGAGATGGCAACTGAAGGAGACCAGCAGACCAGAGACCTCGGAACCCCATCCAAGACTACAGTGTTCTGGTGAGGGAACCAAGTCAAAGTGAAAGTGGATCAATAGGACAGATAGAGAACAATAAGAGACAATAAAGAATATTGATGTAATTAGTGACTATGATACTTGTAAGGTTGATGAAACGTAGATGGAAGAGACTGTAAGGGGGGTATTTGTAGAAAACAAGTGTAATATTCCCCGTTAGCGGGATATATCCCACGTTTTGTGTGTGGGATGTTATGCCCCAAAGATTATGTACAGGTAGATATGTTTTTCGGTTAATTTGGAATAAGTGTTTTTATACGATAAGATTAAGAAGTAGAAATAATGGACTGTAGCAGGAAGCTGGAGTTTTCAAAGAAGTGTAATGTAAGTAGTTAGGTAATAGTTTTGCAATCACAATATTAGCACGGCAGCGTAATAACGCTGACATTGAGGAAGAGGCTATATGAAGTAGAACATAAAGAACTATGGCATTAGGAAATCGCTGAGTCGGAGAGGGCGGTAAACCTGAAAGAGCAACTCCCTTTCGATAAACAGCCAATGAGAGCAAGCCACCCCAACCAAAATCACGTCTGGACGGGCGGGTGAATACAACCCCGATTGTATGTCTCCAACTATCTCATCGGTAAGTCATTATGAAAGCAATGTTTCTTCATTTTTGCCTTGTAATGTCCTGCCCATACCAGCCCTGGAAATTGACACAGAGTAAGTATGAAATTACTGGAAGAATATGTGTGCCAACTAGTCACATGAGCATCATTAAATATTTCGTAAGTTGGAGAAAGTATCCCTGGTGACATGCAGTTGCAGTGCAGCAACAGAAACTACTGTGCAGCGAATGATAACATCGTCATCCACAGCTCAATTACGCACAAGAAACCTACTTTGAACTTGAGATCCATCTCTTTCATGCTTTGCAGACATGTTGCAGTGAATGATAACATGGTCAACCACATTTCGTTTACATACACGAAACTTATTTGGACCTTGAGCTCCAACTCTTTGCCTCTGTGCAAACATGTTTCCTTCGTTTCAGAATATTAGAACTTCACTGGGTCAGAGTTCATTCTGGGCTTTATCTTCAAGAAATTATATTTCAATCGAGTGTATGGGAAATTGTTTTCTGACACACATGGGTCTTCTTTATGTGTAAGTAAGAATGAAGAGGCATTACTTTATAATTGACTTCCAAAGTTCAGGTTATCCACCTCAGTGTGAAACTCTGAGAAGGACAATCAGTATCAGGATTGAATGTGGGTAGGACTATTTATGTAATTTATTTACCTATTTCATTTTCATTACATTGTTAGTCACTTCTGTTGTTACAGGTGTATTCCTTCTCTTGCTTTTGCCATATAATGCTACCTATACTGGACTGGTAAACATGAACATAAGCTTTTCAATAGTAATTGCATTTCTTTAACATATATTATTAATTTTTGCTGTATAATCATATTCAGTACTGAACTTGAAGATGAATATATACCAGATTGTCAGTATTCATAACATTCTTGTGTAAGATGTGTTACTTTTGGCATGTAAACCTTTCCATTACTGAACTGGAATGTGAACAGATACCAGATTTTCAGTATTCATTATATTTCTTTAAGATAGGTTATTATTTCTGCCANTAATCTCTTGTACTCCAGAGCTGCAGAGGCTCTTATTCCGCTGTTACTTTCTTTTTGTAAAGGGTGGGGGACAAAGTTTAATAGAACTTCACTCAGATCCAACCCAAAGGATATGGGTGAAGTGACATTAAACTTACTTATGGAGCCGAGGCCTTCTTGAGAAGCTGTCGATTGTGCAGCCACTCAAGAATTTTCCAGTCTTTTGTAGAACCTGAAGGTTCATTACTATGTTCACATGAGCCCTCCACTGGTCCCTATCATGAGCCAGATCAGTCCAATCCAATCTATACCATCCTATCTCACTACGATACATTTTAATATTGTCCACCCACCTACACCTTCATCTTCCCAGTAGTCTCTTTCCTTCTGGCGTTCCCACTAATAACCTATATGCAGTCCTCGCCTCCCCATTCGTGCTACATGCCCTGTCAACTTCATCCTCCTCAACTAGTGATATTGAACACAGTTCAAAAATGGAAATAGGTTGGTGGGGAAATGAATACATTGATAGCATATATATCCTATCAAAGTATACTAATGACACAAGACTACAATAATGAAACATAAAAGTGTACTACTAGGCATCCAGCATATAACGTACCAAGATCATTAATTAATATTGAAATTAAATTATTCCTCCAATGAGTAAAATAGACTTACCCTCTGGTACCTATCCTTCACATAGGATTTTATCAATGCATTGGCCTTACCAACTATTCCGTAAAATTTCTACTTTAGACAGCGAGAGGCAGATAGAAAGACAGACAGATATTGTCAGTGTCAAAAGGTTTCTTCAAATCACAGAAAATGCTGATGAACATTATTGGTATTGATGTTTTCCAGCTATCATACGAAATTAATTATTAAAAGAATCTGTAATCACATCAAGATTATCAGTTAACTTCCCATCAATGTTTAAAAACTGACCTGCATTACTAATTTTTCTACCCATGTCTGATTTTATAATGCTCCAGGTGACTTTCATTTTGTTACTAGAATTAGAAATTAATTGATTATAATGAAGATTTTTAGCACCTTTAATAACACTCGCCAAAATATTACAGTATGTTTTATAATAATATTTCAGATCTGGCTCATACCGTCCTGAAGCTCTGGGAAAATTGAAGAATCTCAATCCATTTTCATCACTGGAAGACGTGCATGCTTCAGCAGAACAATTTTTTTTTTCCTTCCATCTATACTGCAAGAAACAATACAAAAATTATAACAGAATCAAAGTACACTCTCACTTTCTTGAGATTCTACGGTCCTTCTTTAGGCTACACCGAAAGATGCTTAAAATACTGAAATACGATTTGGATGAAGTATCGTAGTAACACTGACTTCGTGTTTGTTTCTAATTTCACTGGGCGTAGTACGCATAATCTATATACATAAGTAACACACAGATGTAAATTCATGCGTAAATGTCGACTCTCGTTTCACAACATCAAATCAAAGTCCCTACTTACTAGTTAATCTAATTAGTTGCACAACATACCTCAACGGCGTTTTAAAAACTACGCAGTATTACTGCAACAACCACCCAAAGCCTTCAGGCGAATTTTAAGATCCTCCGATTGGCTGACACTTATGCGATTCGATTATTTGCGATAGGTGTATATTTACCAATTATGGTCATTTCCAGACTCTCTAGTTCATGTTGCTGAACATAGATGGCTGGTCTGCATGTTTTCCTCTCCCCTATGGGAGTTACCCTTTTGGTCTGAAGTGTACATCTAGGGTTCATATGTATAATCAGCTGAATCTTGCCGATTGTTTGCAGTTTACTGGTACGCGTACTTGGACGTTCTTACCCGTTCTCACCGTGGCTGACTCTAGGTAGCTCTAGGTCTCTAGGTGCTCTAGCTCCTCTAGGTTACCTTAGTTGTAAAATGGCGGCGGAAGATAGTTCCTGGAGGACTGCAACTTTTCGTCAGAGTGTGGTTGTGAAAATGTAAGTTTTCTGTGTAAATCATTACCGGAGGATTTGTGCAGTTTTCGTGATTATTTGGCCCTGTTTTCAAAATAATCTTGAATGTTAGGAAAGTTGAAGTGGATGTTCATGTGCGATGTGTATCCTGCGTTCTGTTAAGCACGTCAGATAAAGAAGCGTGCGAACTGTTCACCACGGATGAAATTTTCGCTGCTTTGTGCCAAATTACCCACAAAGTTGAATGAATGAACATTCCACTTCAGCCCCCCTTTGGGTTGCAAATAGTTGGCTGTTGTACATTTTAGACATTTCGTCAGTTTATGGTTTTGAGATTGACAGAAACAGACATTTCGTTTATTAGCTTTATAAGTTTTTATTCTTTGTGGTTAACAGTCCAAAATATTGAACAGTATAGTATAACATTGTGTTTGCGTGTAGCTGCTGTGTTTTACTGACAACTGTACATCCCTGTTTGGGTCGGATACATAAAGTGACAGCAAAAACGTATCTTACAAAAAAAAAAAAACAATTATGGCTTGGTAAACTGAACTTTAGATGTTAATATAGACTAAATCTGTAATCACAGTCAACAGAGTACATGGCCTTATATGTTTAATGTTTACTATGATGTAAACAATTTTTGTTATGTATACATAGATTTTATTAGACAATTGCCTGATTATATTAGCAATTGAAACAGTTCTGTATCTGGGCTTTGGCCTCAGTAGTACAGAAAATCCTATTGGGTCATTTCATATCAAGTTAACACAGCAGTTCGCATGACCATCTTGGATTTCAGTGAAATTTTGTAAGCCCACAGAATCTGATGAGCAACTGATAAATATGAAGTTTTTCATTCTTATGTTAGTTAATTTTGAAGTTGAATTAGTACGTTTTCCTTTTTCTTTCTTATGAATTCACTAAAATGCATATAACTGTGGCCCTAATAACACAGATGCCTCTGAGCAGTATTTGAGGGGGCACATTATTAACAGTATGACCCTAATTTATGAAAAATATTTAGAGAGTTTTATGCAGGTTCTCTCCAAAATATTTTGCAAATATGCTTTTGTAATGCTTGATGCTGGGACATGAATGGGTTTCTGAAACACATATTTGTTTATAACGGAAGATTATACACATACTGTTGCAAGTCACGAATTAAACATTACATAAGGTATGTAGGTAATACAGCCATAATAAGAAAGGCAAAAAATAAACTGGCAGGCATATTCATTAGAATTTTAGAATTAGTTCATTCAAGTAACATTTTACCTGTAAGAGTAGCTATTTACAGTACATGAAGCCTTGTTTCTAGTTCTTCAGTCATGCAACAGGATTCCTTTTTACTGATAATGTGTGCCAGTTTCTGGATCCACTTTTTAAGCACTTTTGAATCTGGAACCCACAAAGTGTCTGGTATTGAAAGCTTTACTGGGGCTGTAGATGTGGAAAAATGTTGGATCAGTTCATTGTCATTCACACACACAGACCACCACTTCTTGTCATATTCACAAGTTACAAATCCTCTGATGTCTTTCACTTGACTCTCTTCATGTTGCAAGTATATTATGTATGCAGTGTTAAACACATTTGCATCAGAAAGTACTTTTGTCTGAACTTGGTTTTTTGAGGCAGGAATAATAACAATGTATTTTTTGAGTCCTAAAAATATTGGAGTTTTGTGAACCTCTCTTCAAGCCTCATCATTTTTTTCTTTGATCTTAGTGACTGAGGAGATGTTTCTAGGACCCCACTTGTAAAGTTGTCTTGTTGTCATGATCTGTTCCTCAGAAGGGTTTGCAGATTTGCTTTTCTTGCTAACCCTTTAGTTTTTCCTGTAGTCCTATCACATGCCATGTGACACTGCAAATAAACACTACTTGGCATCTGGACCAAAATTATTATTATTATTATTATGAGGTCATTGGATTTTTTTCAGTTTACCTAATCCTTCCAGCTTCACTAGGCCCTGGGGTTTACTCAGCCTCTAACAGAAATGAGTACCAGGAATTAATTAAATAATTTTCCTGGGGAGTAAAGCGCGGCCGGCGCATAAGGAGCGTAAGACTGACAACCTTACTGCCATCTTTGAGCCGATTGTCTAGATAATGTGGGACCCTCAACGTCTCACAACCCTATGGGTCTTCACGGCCTGGTACAGGGATAGCTTTACTTTTTTTTTACTTTATTATTATTATTATCATCATCATCATCATCATCATCTCTTGTCACAGGTTTATTTCCTGGTATTCCTTTTCTTGAACCAGTGATGCACCTCACCACTCAGGCTTCAAGCTTCGCACTGTAGCACTTTCCGTAGTATGTGTGATGTTCCCAGGATAGCCGTTTTTTGCAGTGTATCTATGGAGTGCTTACCAGGAATTAGTTCCAAATATTTTCTCAACCCTCTCGTGACTGTACCCGTGGCTCCTATCACAAAACATTTCATGTTCCACATTCGCTGAATTTCGATGCTTAAATTTTTATATTTTAATTTCTTCTCTGCTTCTTTTTGTACTACATTCCTATCCGATGGTACTGATACGTCTATAAGTATGCAAGTTTTCTTTTGCATATTTTTAATTATTATATCTGGCCTGTTTGCCAGAACCTCTCTGTCTGTTTGTACGCCTTGGTTCCATAACACGGTTATATCCTCATGTTCACATACTGACTTAGGCACGTGTGAGTACCAGTTGTCTGGTACTTCAATTCCAAATTCTTTACATATTGAGTAATGTAAATGCATGCAAACTTTATCATGCCTTACTATA